AAATTATTCAGGCAATTATAACATAATTTCATGAAACCAAGTCAAGTGTTTTTAATTCGAAAATAAACTTGAATTCAAACACTTGAACTTATGATTTCAATGATTTACACTTTATTGACTACATAGCATGACGCGTTTCGTCGTTACAAACGACTTCTTCAGATGCTAACAGAATAATAACAAAAAATTTTAAATTGCAAATATCAGGGGAATTTGAGTTTCTATAAAACTGAACATAATTGAACAGATTTCGGCTAATAAAATAATATTATGAGAGCGAACTAGTGTCAAAAATTGTTCACAAAAAAGTTTATCAGAAAGCTCTACGATTAGTATTTCCTTATCAGTCTGATAGAAATCGAAATATAATAGTTTAACATACTTTGGAACAGTCAGTCAAGAAGTCAAAACCTTTTTACAAAAACAAAATTTTAATATTTCATTCAAAACGAACAATAAAATCATAAATAAATATCGAGACACATCAAGAACAATAAAAACAAAATTAAGAGAGAAGACAAATCAGGTGTTCACCTATAGAATTGTGTAACATGTCCCGATAAAACAAGTAGAAATTTCGGTACTAGAATCCAGGAAAATAAATATAGTTTCACGCATAACAAAAGCAATGCGAATTATGGTAACCATTTATTAACAGAAAATCATACTTTTGATAAGAATTTCAATATTTTACATGATATACAGAGAAGTAGTCAATTAGATTTTTGGAAAATAGTTGAAATGAATCGGCATAAAAATTTTGGAAATTTGCTCACTACACAGATTTAAAATCAATTCACGCTTGTTAGATCTGTTCAGGTAATAAAAATTATATTTCAGAATGGAATATCTTAGGTAAAACCCAAATTCATAGAATCTCGAATTCAGTGATATTTACACCTGTTTTTTCAAATTTGTTATTATTTTGTTAGCATCTGAAGAAATCGTTTGTAACGACGAAACGCGTCATGCTATGTAGTCAATAAAGTGTAAATCATAAGTTCAAGTGTTTGAATTCAGGTTTATATTCAATTATAGTGGATTTACATCAGTAAACGCCAACACTATTAAATGAATGTTTTCAATTCACTATATTAATGACATTTTCATAACCCTCGGCAAATCTTATATCAAGCAAATAAAATTACCTCATAAGTATAAACAGACACGGCAGGTAAGGTAACTACTGAATCCCTTCCAAAGTTGATCAGCATTAGACAGCTTATTAATGCTTAGCATTTTTCAACACTCTTTTTTGTAGAATAAATATTCTATTGAACTCCAGTGGAATTTTTTCAGAATATAATGCCAAATTTGAACCTAGACTCTACATATAAGTGATACATAATAAATTCATATAAATGACACGAAGGTTTCGATTATCTATTGGTGAAACATTATGTTAAAAAATAAATTAAACACATGTACACTCATGTATATTGAGTATTTCATATATTGAGTGATATATTAAATTGATTAATTAAATTGATATAAAGTGAAACTTAAGTCAGGTGTGTTAATTTTCATTTATTATTTATAAATTCATATTCTAACCGACCTGTGTTGTAAGTACTCAAGGCGTGTGTTAGCCAATTGACTGACCGTAGGTTCCTGACATTTTTCCTCCATTTAAAAGAGACAGAAATTATGTTAAAAAGAGAACTGAATTTTGAAAACCCCTAGTTGTTGAGTATATTATGTGCCCAATTCATTCGTTTATTATTCATTGAAAATCATAAAACTGAAATTTGTGAAACCTTACTATAATTTCAAAACGAAAATGCTCATTTCTGTCCCAAGTTATGAAGAAAACCGTACCTTACCGAACACTGCTCGTTTGTATATGCATAATTGAGGTTATGCCAATCAATTCCTCGTCTAATTAAACAAATAAGTTAATTCATATAATAAATTAAAAATAACACACTTGGCTTAAGTTTACTAAATATATTAAAAATTTTAGATATAATTTAAATAAAACTTAATAGTTTTCTGATTTTCACTATAATGAATTCGATACATAACAATATTGTTTCGCCAACACAGTGGCTTCATCAGATGTTGATGGTAAACTAAGCTATAACATTATGGACTTCTTGCATTTATCCTGGAAGTGTGTGGGAATGACCGTAGAACAATGTTCCTCTGAAGTAGGGAAATGACTATAGAACATATTTCTTCTGAAGTGCGGGGAATGACCATGGAATCCTTCTCTTCGTTTGCCTTTTACTGGAATAACAGTATTATTCAGTATAACAGTAACAATTTATTCCAGTAAAAGGCAATCGAAGAAAAGTATTCTATGGTCATTTCCACACACTTCAGGATAAATGCAAGCAGACCACAATGTAACAGCTCAGTTTATCATCAACATCTGATGAAGCCACTGTGTTGGCGAAACAAGATTGTTATGTATTGAATCAATTATAGTGAAAATCAGAAAATTACATAGTTTTATTTAAATTGTAGATTAATAATTCTACATTTGAGTAACATTGTATACTCCTGATAGTGGGTTGACCACCCGTAACATATGTAGAGTTTTAAATTTATTTAGTGAAGCTTAAGTGAAGGTAATTTTAATTTATTGTTTCTAACTCAATGTTTCACCAAAATATAAGCGAAACCTCCTTGTCGTCATTTAAATCATATAACTCAAAGTAAGATCTATCTAAGAGAACTTGTATATCAAAGTATTCCATAGTGTTATCATAACGAATAATTGATAGCTAAAAACCCATCTGAAAAACGAATTCATTAACTTCATTCATTTATTCGACTAACTATGTGATTTTTAGATCACCCTGATCAACTTCTGGTTTGCGTTGCAAATCACTCTTAACCATCAAATATTCAATATTACAAGAAATATTTATTAACAGATACTTTTATTCGTGATATAACTGACCTCCATTCTCAACATTGCAACATGGCGTAGGGTTTCTGACATGCAATTTCGAAATATCCGGCTTAGCCGCAACTTTTCCCAACGGACACTCCGCGATAACCATATTCAGTTTCAATCACAAGTTATATAACGTGGAGTCTACGATGCCAAGAGAAGGATACATCCCGCTGGGAATTTTCCGGTGTAGATCCGTCTCTGAGTTGCCCTGTTCCTGGTTTTCCTGACCCAATTTCCAAATGTTACAGGTTACGGGGTTACAATGAATCTCTTCACGAGACGTAACCAGGGACCAAGAGGAGTGCATGGACCAAGTTCGTGCCGGGTCTCCAATTATTTACGTTGTCATTGACAGGCCGGTTACCTCCTTCAGGATGAATCAGTGAGTGTGTCGCCGGTTTCGAAAGGAAGAGAAACAGCAAATTAGCATGTTTCAAGTTCTACCAGTCCCATTTGTTATCAGAATAGGGCCTTTAGAATTTCGGGAGTTTGATTCGATATTCAAGTCATTTGCTGCATATTGACTTCGGGTTCGAAAAGGGTCGAATTTATCTACGAGCTTCTAACACTTTTTCATCGCGTGCTTGAAATATTGAATATTTTGTCCGAGTAGGGCACTCTTGTAACACAAGGGTTTTATTGAGGAAGGAGGATGGTCATTACATGGTCGAATATCTGTTACGTCATTTCGAAGACAGCTGATAATTCATATTTTATAACTGAGGTAGAAGGAGCTTGTTCAGCTTCAATTCGAGAGTTGAAATACTTAAGGCAGAAGCTTTCTTAATCTGCCATCGTGTTATGGAATAACTGAATAACTAATGGAGAAAAATCTACATTTTCAACTTGTTCAAAATAGTTCATTTTCCCAATGAAAAAGATCAATTCTTTGATAAATTATTTTGATTCAGTTTTATTGAATTCTATAATGACTATTCTACTTGAAAAAAAATTTTTAATTTATAAAGAAAGCCTAAAATCTGAAAGTTGCAATGACTTAAATAGGTATTTATAGGAGTATTTTCAGTTGGAAATCTATTGGTATTCAGTTCTCATGAAAATATAGAGGGGAGTTGGGAGTAGAGTTGTCGTATATGTAGATATTCAAATGAATGAGAATTATGTCTTTTATGAAGTCCGCAGTTCGCTAAAATATTTCATGAACCGTCGCATTTATATCTTTTGTGGTCAACGCTAAAATTTTATGTTCGTACGTTTATACAATATCTACATCAAATGGCTAGAAGGGGGTTATAAATATTCTGTCCATAAAAGAAAGATCCTAGTTATAACGAAAAATGTTTTTTTTTCATAAAAATTTCATTGTTATATGTAATATATATATATATATATATATATATATATATATATATATATATATATATATATATATATATATAATATATATATATATATATATATATATATATATATATATATTTCGAAATTAATTTATTGAATGTTTCAGATAATTATATTTATAATATTTTCAGCAACAACGCGCTACTTTTTAAGTTAAAATCTTTATTTTTGTTAACGTTTCGTTTTATATCATAACTTAGTCAAAACTAATGAATAATTGAATTTTATGAATTACCGTAGATATCGAAACGTCAAACTTATTTTTTTGAAAAAAATCAAATTGGCTTTTTTGTCTCTTTATTATTCAGAGTAATATTTCTGGATTAGTATTCCCTTCGGAAGTTTTAATCTTCTTCACCATGAAATATTCAAATTTCACACCCATAAAATTATTTAATATCCATATTCTGGATAAGTATATGAAACTCAACTATGTGAAATTATATGTATGTATTTATGGATATATAAATCACACTCATTTGAATATCCTGGCTTACCATAAGTTTCAACGAAATAGTAAAGAAACGAAAAAGCCAATTTGATTTTTTCAAAAAAATAAGTTTGACGTTTTGATATCTATGGTAATTCATAAAATGTAATTATTCATTGATTTTGACAAATTTGTGATATACAACGAAACGTTAACGAAAATAATGCTTTTAAGATAGAAAATAGTATTAAAAAGTACTGAAGTAGTGAAAATTAAGAATTGAAGTCACTTTTAAAAGTTTTTGAACTCGACTGGGATTCGAACCCAGGTCTTCAGGTTTACGCCACACTAAGTTTTGACCGCTAAGCTACCGATTTCTCCCCTTCGAGATACAACTTCAAGTTCGAAACCTTTTAGAGGTGACTTCAATTCTCAATGTTTACTATAAAATAATATATTTTTTCATATACGCACGTTAGGTATATGTATTATATATTTAAATTATATATTTAATTATATATTTAAACACAATTATATATTTGAAACGAACTCAGCTAATTCACGCTTGAATACCTTAAGGTCACTAACTTTTTTTATGGACCTAGGTAATTTATTAATTGCGCTGAATCCTTCATAAAATATACTATTTCTAACTATGTTGAAAGCATTAAAAGAGTTTTTTGAATGGAGCCTAGCATTTTTGATAATATGATACATTTAGAACAGCCTCTCCATATTTTGTGCATGGAATAAGCGATAATTGATAACATTGAATGAAAATAAATAATATTGCTATTTATCAGAAAGATAGATGAAAAACCCGATTTTAAGAGCAAACTTTTTACATATAATTTGAAGATATTCTTGTTATGAGTAGTCATCTTCGTTAAATTTCGCCTTTTGTCTAATGAAAAGGTATATCATTAAAAACCTTTCAATGATTTTTAGTGAATATATTTCACAAGTGGATTGATATGAGATTGTATTCAAAAAACGTGGGGTCTCGAGAAAAACCCATGCTATGGCGATCAGTCAAGGTAGTTTTGTTGGGGTTCAAATGAATCTTCTCATCAATCATTGAGGGTATTCTCAGTTCGATTAAAGAATTTCTTACCTTTATCATGCAGGTAGTTTTTCACATCAATAACTACTTTCAATGAAAATAGCAGACATCATTCAATCATATTTTTTTAATCTTTCGTTTCAAATTTCTAATATTTCATTAGTGAATTTAAAATGCATGTTTTTTGAATCATCTCGTTTTTTATATCAATTTTCACAGAAATATAAGTATGAGTAGTAAAATCTCTTTAACTCAAGCGGATACTGAGAACGTGTATTCAATTGAATAACGAGAGAGAACTGAATACATGCGAAAATGCGCAAACTATTTCTGAGAAAATGAGTATAGATCACAGAGCATACGAGTACATGACGTTCATTGGGGTGTAACAAATTAGTGTTGCCCAAACGCAAGAACAAGACGAGACTTAGCCAGTCTTGGTCTTGGTCTTGCGCCAATACACCTGGTCTTGGTCTTGGTCTTGGTCTTGCGCTCCCAGTCTTGGACTAATAGGTAATTGCAAGACTTGCAAGACTCTTGCTGCAAGACCAAGAGTCTTGCAATAGGTAATTGCAAGACTTGCAAGACTCTTGCTGCAAGACCAAGAGTCTTGCAAGTCTTGCAATTACCTATTAGTCTATTACTATTCATTAAAGTTTACTTTAAATCTTAGAAAAACGTATTAGAATTGGAACATTGTGAGCTTGAATTAACATAGCCATAGTAAAGATCAAGCAGATTAATAAATAACTGAAGATTTGATAAGAAATTCGAAAAATCAACTGACCTATATGTCGTTTTCCATGGAAGTAACTGTTTCTTAATAAACATTTATGATTTATAAGCTTACATTTGCTAAAACATGTAAAAAAACAAATTAATTACAATAACTTGACTGTATTTTAAAGAACAATACTTATCTGTCTAAAAAGAGATTGAACCCTCAACTTATAAGAAATTTAATAAAAAAGTTTTACGATTTATCATTTATTTGAATAAAAAATAAAATACAACACAAATCAACAGCTTCATCATTAGGTTATGATACTTTATATCAATTTTTTTGACCAAGAATTAATACAAAGTAACCATCTGGCTGACTCATCACTTAACCTATTTCTATGTTTTCTAATTACTAATGATGCTTTAGAAAATAACCTCTCAGCAGGTACTGAAGTTGCAGCTCTATGATAAGGATGCCGCCGCAAATCAAACAATAATATAAAGCGTGTAAAAAAATTCGAAATTATTTTGCACTACGCCCTATGGCGGCAATCAAATAGTGTCAAATGTTATGATTTCGGCGTGGCGGCAACGATTGTTTTAGATTTCAAAAGAAGCCGCCGGCGCATGTATCATAACCGTGTACTTCCGAAAAGCGGCAAATTTCTTTGAGAAGTAAGTACAAAACCTTTTATGCCGCATGATCAAAGTGCCGATGGTTAAAACATAACTATGCATGCACTCAGTTTGATTTTAATAATTTTTTTATTCGCTATGTTATGGTATAAGTCGTAATGCGCATAGGACCAGTTTTTCATATTCTTTGATACAGTTTTTTGCGTCTCATAGAATTCCTAAGCGTACCTACCTATACACCGAACTGTTACACCTAACTACTCAGTGAAATAGCGCTAAGTCCTAGCTGCAAGACGCAAGAGTCTTGCAGGCTATGTCTTGTTCTTGCTCAAGTCTTGCACGGTCAGTCTTGGTCTTGGTCTTGCTAAAAATACGCGGTCTTGTTCTTGGTCTTGGTCTTGCAAAAACGCAAGAACAAGACCAAGACTGCAAGACCAAGACTGAATTTGGGCAACACTATAACAAATACTTCAGACAAATACTGAAAGATTTCCTTGCTTTTCATTGTTTGTTTATTCAGAGTTTTCAAAATCTTGAATGCCAAAGAACTTATGCCATTGTGTCCAATTCTATTTCGTGCTCAGTATATCAATTTTGTTCCAGAAATATAATTATTCGGTGTGTCCTGTGATATTCTTGTTGACGATTGAAACCTCAACATTCATCAATATTGAAATTTTGTTTGAAAATAAATGAAATGGTCACTTCAGTCATTTCATAATTGTCATGGAGGTTTCGCTTATCATTTGTTAGGATTTTAACTAATATAACACCAGGGGATGAAGTGATGTTAAATCGTCTTCTTTTAGGCTTTCCAAATTCCGAAATGTTTTTGATAGACAAAGTCATCTATTCTATAGATGACTACTTTGAAATTAACTTAAACACCATCTGCTGATATATTTTGGTATTTTTGCGCTTTGTATTTGTTTATGTTAGTATTTTTTTTTCTTCATTATCATTTGATGTGCGGGGATTTTCTGGTTTCTGAGAATATTATTCTATAGCTACATTGCTTGATATATTTTATATTCTGATTTCTTGACGTGTGTAAAACATTGTGATGTTCAACATTTTATTTTATATTTGTATTCTTTTTGGTGTTGTTCATCATACATTTTTAACATGAATAAACTTACTTACTTACTCACTTACCTACTTACTAAATTACTTACTTACTTCTTCTTGAAACACTATAATAAATAATATTTAATTTGAATAAAAACTCTTGGCTTAAGTTTAAGTGACTGAATTAACAATTCTATATATCTTTAGGGTGGTTAGTCCATTATCAAATGTATGAAATAATATTACATGCGGTAATATTACTCCCGATAATGGGGGAACCACCCTAAACATATGTAGAGTTGTTGATGTGTTCACTGAAACTTGAGCCAAGTGTTTTAAAAACTTCAATTTAATATTATTCAATGTATTTATATTATAATCAACATTATCTTTTATTTTCGTCCCACTTTTATCTCATTAGAGTTTCCATACTAAGTTCATTTATACCAATGTACTTCATTATTCTCAATGCTAACGATATTCTTCTGTTTTTTACAGGTTCATACATTTAAGAAACGAACCACTTCAGTTATTTGCTACTTTACGGTATTCAGTTATTCAGTTGGAAGTCCGTGAACTAAATATAACTTAATGGATTTTATTCACGTTTTTTTCAAATTTTTTCAATGGGTTCGTCAGATTTGGACATTACCCAATCATATCATTTATTTATTCACTTGCTGAAACTCATTTACATGCACGAACGTCCATGTTCTTACCCGGAATTCGAACCCAGATCTTCGTCGTGAGGGCCCGTCCCTCTCCCACTACGCTACAGAGACAACATTCTTATTGCAATAAGTTAAGCCTAATCTAACCTCAGCTTGAATTATATATTTCATATATCACAAAATAGGAGAATATAATAAATTTCAACGATTCAGTAGTCCTGAAAAAACATTTCAATTCACTTTTGACGTCAAAGGATGAATAATATCGGATAAATTCGTTGTAATAACTGATATTCAGATATATAGATCAATTCTGCATAATTTGCTTATGATGACTATTACATTTCTTTTCTTAAGCACGGCTTTGGCCTACGCATAATGTTTTCATTGCATCTTTCGCAATTTATTACGTTTATCGTGATTTGAGTTCTTCTTCCAATTGTTATAAATGGGTTTTCACATAAAACGTCATGACAAAAAAATCAGAGCAGAAAAAATGAGTCACCTAATATAAACTGTGCGAAACACGCAATGACAGGACGCAGGAAGCAGTCGACCGAAAATGAAAGGTAGCTTTTAGCAGATTCGACATCACTGTCCTGTAACGAATAGGTGCTTTGCCAAACCGTCTGTTTCGGAAAACATAAAATTTTACCACTTTCGAAGCACAAGTGACCTCCGATTTTAGTCGTTGTCATGTCTACTCGGACTTCCGAATTGAAAAATAGAAAGACAGTATCGATTTGTACAGAAGCGCGTGGTTTGGAATCTATTCCTGAATAGATAAAGTGTGTCCCAAGCAATGTGTAACACAATGTCAATTTGCAGAAATACATGCATTACGCTGTTTGCAAAACAGTATCTACCTTTTGTTTTGAACAGATTTCCTTGAAAAAATGAATTGATAGCTTAATGTTTCATATTATCAAAAAAAGGATGTTACACAATACTTCAACGTGTTTTCGTTATTGGCAGCAAATTTAGAAATTTTGATATAGGAATTATTCGTTGGTATAGTGCCATAATTTCGTTGATTGTGAAGAAATCCAATAAAAAAGGGAGGCTAGATCAGTTAGTCAAGATAAACTCACTGGTAGCTGAAGATTTAACTGCCCAAATGTTGATATCTCATCAGTGAATGAAAATGTTAGTAAATCCCCAAGAAAATAAATTCGCAGAAGTGTAAGAATTGTAAGATTTGAAGAGCTTCTTATGA